AAACTGGCGATGGAACCCTTGGTAAGGACTCTCCCTCTTCCCGTATGAAATAAGGGAGAGGCGTGTCGGACGAGTTGTCTGACTTGCTTGCTCCCTCCCTACTAACTCAAGCGTATTCGAATTAGACGTTACGTCGTAATCAAAATTTCGTGTTATGACGTGTGCGCGAGGTATCTCGTCCATAAGCTTCCATTAACCGCTATCATCACTTTTTGAGGCCCCAGCGCCATCATCGCACACCTTCGAACGACAACGGCATAACTGCGATACTCGTGCGCTTCTCCATCCTCTCCACGAAATAGATTGTCCGACACGACTCCATCATGGGTTGTTACTGTGAGCACACTTTAGATTCAGGTAAAGCCGCTCGCTCCCATTAGGTTTCTTCGAGGGGATCTCTGCATTTTGTGACCCAAATGGAAACGACAAACCTTAAATGGTAGCAGAGATTTCTATTGCAGTTCGGTGGTTGCTGGGTAGGGGCACAGTTGAAATTGGCGTTGCTGTTTCTCACGTCGTTTATGGAGAGCGTTTTACGGTGAGAAGTGTCTGAAACTCTTCTCAATAACCTTCTGAAAGATTAGAGATGACACCTCCAAATAGGATACCTTCGTGGGTGGTGATGAAAGTGCAATCTTCCTCACGAAATCCTCCATCTTTTCGTGAACCTCCACCGGGGCCAATTGTTTTGCCTGAAATAAGCATTCAATTTCTATGAACTGAGGTGAAGAGAGCTTGTTTTTTTCTACAACATTTTCTGCCATTACAGCAAATTTTTGAGACTGCTTTTTTTGAAATTTGAACAGCCTATGTATGGGCCCAAAATATTGCAGATATTGACGTTTTGCGCGCAAAATCAATATATTTACCAAAAAAATCGCGAAAAAAAGATCCAGTATGAGTGCAGCGCTACAAGTAGTTTGTATAATTGTTACAAATTACTTCTAGTCATTAAAATGAACATTTCCTGAAAAAGGGATCATTTCTACCAGTTTCAAATGTTGCCTGACACTGAAAATTCCCGTCCGATTAAAAATTGTGCTCAAGCTTACTTATTCCAGCAGAGTGCTGAATAACGGTATGT